CCCCCCAAAGGGGTCGCGACCCACAGGTTGAGAACCGCTGCTATAGAGAGAAAACCCTAAAGATTCTACTAAAACACTATTATTGGGTTGTCGGAAAAGTCATGACGTATTTTGTCTATGTTTTTCAAAGGTCATTTATTTATATAAAGAACAAAGATCAATCAATGATCTATTGACCATTTTGTTCGATAACCTTTTGCCATCTTTCAGGGAGTTTATAGTTCCTTGTTCATAGAAGGACCTGTCTTTATTTGCGAAAAGCTGAACAAGGTGCTGATTTACAGCCTCATCTGAATTGAATGTTATACCACGCAAGGAGTTTTGAAGAGAGCAAAACAAGTGAAAGTCTGACAGCACAAGGTCAGGCGAGTATGGTGAGTGTGGCAACACATCCCATCCAAGCTCCAATAATTTTTGACAGGTGATCAAATTTGTGTGTGGTCTTGCGCTTTCACAATGGAACACAACTCCTTTACAATTAACAAGCTCTGGACGTTTCTGGATGATGGATTTGTTCAAACTGTCCAATTGCCGACAGTACACATTCGAATTGATTGTTTGGTTCCTTGGTAGGAGCTCGAAAAACACAACACCTTTAAAATCCCACCACATTGAGAGCATAACCTTCCTCTGATGAATATCTACTTTCGATGTCAAATATTTGAGGCGAAATCATCACGTTGGGACCAAGACGGCTTGCGCACCACATTATTGTAAACAATCTACTTCTCATCACCAGTTATCAGTCTCTTCAAAAAAAGGATCGTTTTCCTCATGTTTACTGAGCATATTGCAGATGTTTATACGCACCGTCAAATGAATTTCTTTGAGTTCATACGGAACCCAAATATCGAGCTTGCTTACATATCCCAGCTTCTTCAGGTGGTTATAAACATGTGAATGATGGATATTCAATGTTCCTGCAATCTCTCATGTCATATAACGTGGGTTTGAATCGATCAATGGCTTTATTTTGTCGTCATCAACCTCAGTGATCAACCCCCCTGACCAAGGAGAGTTGTTGGGATCAAAATCACCAGCACGAAAATTCATGCACCATCGTTGGCACTGCCGTTCTTGTAGGGCGTTGTCACCGTAAACTTTATGCAACTTTTCAAAAGATTGACGCACGTTCTTCCCTTTATGGAAGTAAAATATGGCAAAAATGCACAGTTTGGTCTTCCATCTTCAACTTGTTGTAAAATCTCCAAAACTCAACCAAATAGCTCAATTTTTTTTTTAGAATGAAGCTAAAACTCTCAGCTGTCAAATGACATAGCAATAACATAGATGTGAATGACTCTAGTACTTCCAAAAATGAACTAGTGCCATCTGTCGTAAACATGCGTCATGACTTTTCCGACAACCAAATAGAACTATTAAATGAATTCAGTAAAGTAGCAAGATACAAAATTAATATAAGGAAATCAGTTGCATTTTTTATTTGTTTGTTTGTTTGTTTGTTTTACTGGGGAACAGTGTGTTTTTCCAGGACCCATCAGTTCCAAATCAAGTAGTTGTTTTCGATGTATTTGTGGAGGACACGGGGATCGAACCAGCAACCTTAGTGTTATAAGCACTGCGCTCTACCCAACTAAGCTAACCAGCTGCCCCTCAATTGCATTTTTATACACAAATAACAAACTACCAGAAAGAGAAATTAAGAAAACAATCCCATTTACAATTGCATCAAAAAGAATAAAATACCTAGGAATATATTTAACCAAGGAGGTAAAAGACCTGTACTCAGAAAGCTATAAGACACTAAAGAAAGAAACTGAAGATACAAATAAATAGAAGTGTATATCATGCTCATAAATAAGAAAGACTTAACATCGTTAAAATGTCCACACTACTCAAAGCAATCTACAGATTCAGTGCAATCCTTATCAAAATTCCAATGTCATTTTTCACAGAACTAGTACAAATAATCCTAAAATGTATATAGAACCACAAAAGACCCTGAATAGCCAAAGCAATCTTGAGAAAGGACCAAAGTTGGAGGTATCACACTATCTGGTATCAAATTATATTACAAGGCTATAGTAATCAAAACAGCATGGAACTGGCATAAAAACAGATACATAGGTCAATGGAACAGAATAGAGACAAAGAAGGCAAGAATATATAACAGGATAAAGACAGTCTCTTCGATAAATGGTGTTGGTAAAACTGGACAGACATATGCGAAAAAAAATGAAACTGGACCACTTTTTCACACCATTTCAAAAATAAACTCAAAATGGATTAAAGAGATAGTTACAGGGATGTAAAGTACAGCAAAGGGAACACAGTCAATAATATAGCAACAATGTATGGAGTCAGGTGGGTACTAGACTTAATAGGGGGATCACTTCGTAAGTTGTATAAATATCTAATCCTTGTCTCCCATGATAAATCCACATTTTACAAAAATTAATAACCGAAAGAGGAAACCTTTTCAGTTATTAAAGACCAAAGTGCTACACACAAAAAAAAGAAAAGTGGTAACATTGGAAATGAAATTTGAATGGAACATAAATGGAGTTACAGAAGAAATAGCTGACCATAGAAATGTCGATATGACTGCTATGTCAGACCAATGTACAACCACGAGCACACCTTGAGATACTGTAGTTCAGTTGCAGAGTTACACAATGAAGCAAGTACCGCAATAAAGAGAGTAGTGGCCTTTTGGCTGATGGAAGGTCTTGCCTTTAATTTGTAAAAAATGCAACATCAGTGAAGCTCAGTGAAGCGCGGTAAAAGGAAGTATGCTGGTATGCAGGAACAGCCAGGCTGACTGTGTAGTAGCTTAATACAATGTAATGAAATGTTAACATTAGAACGACAATTTTCAAAGCTATTTTGAAAAATATGGGCTTTATAAATTACAAGTGAAAAAAAGCAGACAGCAAAATGGCCTAAACACTATGAGAACAATTTGGTAAAATTGTATTTATAGAAAAAAGTTGGATCAGAAAAGTCTAAAAACGGTATTTTAGACTGTTAGATTTTATTTATATTATGTGTTGCTGCTCAGATTAATGTTTTCCATTCAACTTGTCCTGTTCATTATATTAAAGCTATATTTTTGTATTTACCTTCATGTTAATAAATTCTACAAGGTTCCCTTAGAAACAGAATATTTCTATTTGTACCAAATTACAAACTTATAAAAAGGAATATGCTACTTCTAAAGCAATGACCAAATGACATACAATATTTTCCTTTTAAAGAATACGGTTTTTTTATTGTGGTAAATTTACCATTTTAACCATTCTTAAGTGGACATACACTATATGTGCCTTGTTGTACAACAGATCTCCAGAGCTTTTTCATCTTGCAAAACTAAAACTCTACACCCACTGAACCATTCCTTTTCTCCCTCCTCTCAGGCCCTGGCAACCACCATTCTACTTTCAGTTGCTAGGAGTCTGACTACTCTAGACAATTCATATAAATGGAATCATATAGTACAGTAATACCTTGGTTCACAAGCATAATTTGTTCTGGAAACAAGCTACTCCTATTGCAAGACATTGCTTGCTTACCAAGCTAAACTGTATTAGAAATGTTTGCTCGTCTTGCACACCCACAAACCAAGTTACTCGAAATCCAAAGTTTTACTGTATTTGTCTTTTTGTGACTGGCTTACTTCATTTAGTATAATGTCCTCAAGGGTCATTTATGTTGTAATATGTGACAGGATTTCCTTCTTTTTTAAGGTTGAATAATATTCCATTGTATGTATGTACCACATTGTAACAGTATCTTCCCTTAACTAAATATTCTGACAATATAAACAATAAATCAGTTGGGCTAATCACACACCTACAATTGTAGAAAACATACAAAAATAATCAAGAATGACTTGAAAACTGACATTTATGAACTATGAGCTAAAAAAAAAACACTATCAAAAAAGCAGAAATTCTTACCAAGAAAATAATACACAATGCAGAAATTTCTAATCAGGAACAGCGATTCCATACAACTGTGTTTAACTAACAAGAGCAGAGATCTCCTAAAGCACAAGAACTTGTATTGCTGTGGAAAAAAGAAAAACAGAATTATATGTCACACCCAAACAGAGGTTCTACTTCATTCTAAAGCAAGCACATAACTATAACAGTCCATATATAAAGCATAATAATTGCATAAAAAGACAAAGTTTATTCTAGAAGCAAAATATAAATTATTTCTGATGTTAAAATATTTAATATTTATATTATATAACATTCACTAATATGAGATCAGAAATTAGAGAATTTTCAGTATTAATCTATACTTATACTAAGGACCATGAAAATGAAAAAAGTACAAAAATCATAATAAAAACAATAGCAGCTAACATTCTTTGGGCACTTACAATGTACCAGGTACTGTTCTAAGCACTTTACATACATTAATCCATTTAAACCTCACAAGAACCCTATGAAGGAGGTTCTATTATTATCCCCAAATTACAGATGAGAAAACCAAGGATGCACAGAGAAGTTAAGTAACTTAACCAATGTTACCAACTAGCAAAAGGAAAACCTGAAATTTTAATCCAGATAGGCTGGCTACAGAGCCTGCAATCTTAATGGTAATGTATACTCCTGTACATTAAATTTTTTTTAATTCTTTTTTTTTTAATTTTATTTTATTGGGGAACAGTGTGTTTTTCCAGGACCCATCAGCTCCAAGTCGAGTAGTTGTTTCAATCCAGTTGTGGAGGGCGCAGCTCCGTGGCCCATGTGGGGATCGAACCGGCAACCTTGAAGTTATGGGCCTACCCTCTAACCAGTTGAGCCAACGGGCCACCCCAACATAAAATATTTTTAAATGCTTAAATGCTATTTGCAGAAAAATAGGAGGCAGAGAAGATGACATTAGCCTAGAGAATCAGGAGATCTGAGTTCTTGTGCTTTTCTCTTTCTGCACAACACTGAGCAAGTCATGTCTCCTCTCTATCTAGTTATCTGTGAGATAAGAAGGCTGAACCAGATAAATACTAGTTCCTTAGTGGGTACCTTCCAATTCTATCACTCTAAGACAAAGAAATCAAATAAGAAAATATATGAAACTTTTTTCCTGAAAAAAATACACTCCTTGAGAAACAAGGGTTATTTGCCCCTCTCCTGCCCAAAATACGCTAATGGAAATCTTTTTTTTTTTAATTATTAGAAAGAATCTAAGGAAACCTAATGAACAAAGATAAGCTTCCCAAATTCTGGTATTCTTTTGTGCTTATTATATTCTTACAAGTGTAAGAATATATATCTATATCTATATAGATATATAGATACATATAAGAATAGATGTAAATAGGGCTGGCCAAGTGGCTCGTTGGTTAAGAGTTGGCTTGTGAGCACGAGCTCTGAGCAGCAGGGCCGC